AGTTCTTGCATTTAGTTATTGCTATTGCTGTATGGTTTTTTTTTTTTTGTATATTTGTTGTTTGTTTTTACACTGGGTGTCACCAAGAATCAGTTGGAGTAGGGCAGCATCCAAGTTGAATAAGATAAACAAATCAATAAATAATAAAATGGGAATACAATATTGAAAAAGAAGTGAGGGGCCATGTTCATTCTCAGTTATGCTCAACATTCTCACATCCCCATTTTTTTTCTTTACTCTCTGTCCCTCTCCACTGCTGAACTTTCCATCCATTCCATAAAATTTTCCTTGGTCACTTTTTTTTCTGCTCTCAGCTTTTCTGTCATTTTGTCATCTTAAACACTGCTTTTCTTCCCCTGTCGCATTCTACTCTCTTACTTGCCTTCTACTTTCTCTTTGCTTTCTGTGCCTTTGTCTGTATCTCTTCCTTCTCTCTGTTTTTCTGTTTGGCTTTTCTTTTTTTCCCTTTTTTTTCATTACTCAAGTGGTAGTTTTCCCAGTCCATGCATGATGTTTAAAAATGGTTTATCCTTGCTAAAACACCAGGATTACTCTGAGGAAAATTTGATTGATTGATTGATTATGTGCCATCAGATTGTTTTCAGTTCCTAGCAACTACACAGATTTTCTCTATGAGTGGAAAACTCATTTTGAAAAATGCAAAAACTTTATGTTCTTTGGTCACAGTTCTTTCTTCAACTGCAGTCTACACTAGAACAAGAACATTTGACAACTCCATAGTCCATCTAGTCATATGATATCACTTTGTCTTGTCTCCAACCCAGAATTTACAAAGTCTGATGTCATCTCTTCCTGAGCCTAAAAGCTAGTTAATTAATTAATCTGACAGGGTTCTGCTATTGCAACAAGTTATGAAAGGAGGGGAAAAAACCCTTCTTTCCTTCTTTTTATTAAGTGGTGGTCACTTAATAGTTTGCACGCATGTTATTTAGGTAGCTGCAAAAATCCCTTTCCTTAATAACTGGTCAGCATGATATAACAGCCACATTATGATAAATCATTCTTCTGCTTTATTTTTATTTACTGGATTATATTGTTCCATTATGTTTTCCTTCCTACTTTGTCCTACATTGGCATTCCATAATCAAAGTACAAGCAGCACAACTTGCTTGCATGTTCTGTCAATAGCCTGAACTTGACCATAGCACTTGCCAGCTTCCTGTTCTTCATTGATAGTTGAACATAAACTTAAACCTGAATAATTAGCATATTAAAGGACCACCTGTAAAATTTAATTGATGTTACTCAGTCACTGACCACATTTTATCCAAGAACTGCCCTTACTATAAAAGCAGCACCATTCCTTTGGTTTTTCTGTCCTGAGTAGTAAAAAACTGAGTAGTAAAAAATGATCTTCCAAAATGAAGGGGTGAGATTCTAGTCCATTTCAATTCATTAATGCTCAATGTATAATTAGTTCATCTCATCTTTCAATGCGTTGAATTTTCCTGCTTATGCTTCTTATATTCCTTGTTCCTACTGTAATTCTGCCTTCAGATTTCCTTTTTCTTCATCAGCAACTGAATATGCAGAAGGCTTTTTTATCTAGACATAGATTGACCAATCACAGGTCTAAAACAAAAACAGGAAAGAGTTTGGTTTTGGGGTTTCTTGAATAGCATGTCAAGGACTATACTCCAAAAGTTGGGTTCATTTTTTATTTTACATTGATTTTAATTGTAAATTTGGTAGTGATTATACTTTAATTTAAAACAATTATTATTTGAATTTATAATGTTTATGTTTACATTTTGTTTTATTTTGTCATGTGAGGGAACTTAGAACAAAAACATTAACCTAAGTAGCTATTTCCTGTACCAGCTGGAGGTGCTATAGACTAGGTTTCATAGCCTTTCTTGAAGAGAAGAGAACAGAGCATTTTTTTTAAATAGTGATACAATGTCCCAGTATTCTAGCACCCTGTATTGATTAAGGAAACACCTGCACTTCTTTTCTTCTTTTTTGATGGGTTGGAGAAATAAATAGATGAATGAATGAGTGAGCAGGACTTAGAGAAAGTGGCATTTGGATAATAAAAATTGAAAAAGGTCAGGCAGATGTGGGGGAAGCAGAAGAAATGCAGATTAAACTTGGTGAGAGCAGTAGCAGTTGGGGCCAAGATGATTATGGTGGCGGTAAGCATGATAAATAGTCTGAGAAAACAGCAGGAAGTCCTAAAACAGTAACTAATGTGACACAGGGATCTAAGTAGGGAAAGACATTATATTCTTTATGCCATTCCTAAAGAAGGAGCACTGGCAATCCAGAAAGCTTGCTGAATCAAGCCAAAGGTCTAGTTAGTTCACTCTATTGTTTTTTACATTGGCCAAACCTGTCACCAGAAATGCTATAAACAGGTGACAATAAATAAGAATCATTAGGTGTTGGATGGAATACAAATGGGTTGAATACAGGTAGTCTTTGACTTCCCACCATAATTGGGACCAGGATTTCCACTGCTAAGCAAGGCAGTTATTAATTAGAGTCTATGGTCTATCACTAGAGCATAGACCTTAGACTCTAGTTTTAACTAGAGACATGATCTATGTTCTATGATAAGCGCCGTGGTGGTGCAGTGGTTAGAAAGCAGTATTGCAGGCTAATTCTGCCGACTGACAGCAGTTCGATTCTGACCGGTTCAAGATTGACTAAGCCTTCCATCTTTCTGGAGTGGGTAAAATGAGGACCCAGATTGTTGGGGGCAATAGGCTGACTCTGTAAACCGCTTAGAGAGGGCTATAAAGCACTATGAAGCGGTATATAATCTAAGTGCTGTTGCTGAGTCATGCCCAATTTTAGGACTGTTTTTTGCCAAGGTTAAGCGAATCACTGTAGTTATTAAGTGAATCACACGTGGTTGTTAAGCACATCCAGCTTCCCCGGTTGAATTTACTTGTCCAAAACCGACTAGAAAGGTCCCACATGGCAATCAATGAACCTGGGATGCTACAACCACCATTAATACATGCTGGTTGCCAAGTACTTGAAATTTGATCAGGTGATCGCAAGGATGCTGCAACAGTAATAAATAAGAGAACTCATTGTAAGTCACTTTTTTCAGTGCCGTTATAACTTAGAGCAATTGCTAAACAAATGGTTATAGGTTAAGGAGTATCTGTAAAGAAATACACCATAGAGGTTTGCCATTTGTATTTTCCAGAAACTGGAATTTTGAAGCATCTTGACTCTATTGAACCTAAACCCATTTTACAGCTTCTCCCTCCCTTCTTCTCCTAACAAAGAGTCACAATCAGAGCTGCCATCAAATGAAAGTGGAGTGGCCTGGCCCCACAGCCTATGTGTGATGTGAGGCTAGACTTACCTGGCTTTTGGACTTTCAGCATTCCTTACCCTAGAAAGAACTCTAAAATGGTTCTCTTTCCTTCACCTCAGGAAGAACTAGCATGACACTATATCAGGTTTTTTTTTTTTTTTTTGCATACCAGATTACACAGTGCAAGCAGATAACTATTGCTGCTGTAATGCCAATGGCCAATAGTCGTATATAGGTGGTTTTTATTTAGCAACTGCATTTAGCAATCATTTGCCATTATGAGTAATGAAAAAGTAACGTTACAACCAATCTTCAACTTTAGTGCCTTTCTTCAACAAAGGTAAGCTGAAGTAAGGTCGTAAGCACAGTTATGGTTTCTCTTAGTAACCACTTCACTTAACAACCAAATTGCCAGTCTCAACTATGGTCACTAAATGAGAAGTATCTGTATTTAAAACCCTTTAATAAAAATTGGTGTCTGTCCATTTCCTTTCACGAAAAATTATTTTTTGATACATGCTTCTCACTCATGTGAGATACATACATGATGATACATGCCTTTCACTCTCACCCTACCACTTGCCTTTTCTTTGCCAAGAGAGCCCCAAATGTATCCTGGCATCACAGAGAGGATTACCTCAATCCACCAATTTATTTTGGTTAAAACTGTTCAAAGGATTATCGTAATTTCTAATCCGTTTGAATTGCATTGACAATGGACACAGTTCATTCTTTTTCCACACATATGTTTTCTAAAGAAACTCACCTTGTCCAGACCAATTAACAGAGCAGGATGGATCTACTCCAGGAGTCTTTAATTACATCAGTATATAAACAAAATAAATATTTACTTTTTTATATGCTTGTCTGAGTCAGCTCTGCGTTTCTTCCCTGTCAATGTTGGGAGTGTAGTAACATCCATGCAATCTAATTTTTCGGATCTGTTACAATGTTGCCACAACATCAATACTCAGTATAGCTTTGTATTGTACTATAAAACAGCATCTAAATCTTTTACTGGAAATTATTATGTTCAAAATGCTATACAGCCTAAGCATAAATTCCCCTTGACATTAAATGGCTGCTATTTTTTTTAAATAGACCACATGATCCATGGCAGCAAATGAGACTGCTGCCCTTTACAAAATGGCTTCCTACTATAATGAACAAGCAACTGCTTTAAATGGTGTGTTTGCATACAGTATACCCTTACTTATTTTACATTGAAATTTTGTTTATAAAATAGAAGTAATACAACAATAAATGCTGTTTTTTTAAAGTAATGTTTTATATTGGTCTCACAGGTTTCAGTGTGAAGAAGGGTCTTTTTTTTAAGAATGTGGGACATTGCAAAAAATATTTTCATTGCTAGGATACATCCACAAAATTAAAAAACAGTCTTATCAAATCAAGGTAACTATCCATGTAACCCAGCATTTTGTATCTCAACAGGACCAATGTGTACTTTTAGAAGCTCACTAACAGGGACAGATTACACCAAGCTGTCATTGACTCCTTGAGGCCACATAGACAGAAGAAAATCCACACCCCTTTGTTCTCATAATACACACACTTGCTTTCATCTATCCACTTTTCCATTCTGATGTTATCATACCCCTTTCTCTTCATATCTATTCATATGTAGTGCCTATATGTGTATACTGATTTCATTCCAGTGACAAAACATGCATTTTTCCAGCAAGCATTCGGATTTTTAATATAGATATATTTATTTATTTATGTTTTTTACATCACTGATCCATTGAAACTTTGATTCACAGAGACAGAATCACAGCAATAGGAAAGGCCTCTATTCCCACAAAAATAGTGTGCGAGGGGGATGCACTTTCCAGACAAGAATAAATAAAGATACCAAGTTAGCACTTTAAATTGTCCTTCCCAGATCTCTTGGTGGCAAAGGAATAGATCTCTGGGGAGAAGAGGCTGAAGAATGGAAAGAGGGTGTAATACACAGGGATCGAGCCTCTGCTGCATCCCCTCCCCAGCCTGACAGTAAGTTGCAAACACAGCTCAAAGCATCATGTCACAACACAGCTACAACACGCGACTTTGCAGCTATCAGACCACCACGCGTTAAGTGGCGCTTTACCCCTGTCCCCGTGACCTTTCAAAGAAGGGGACAAGAGTAATTGACACAGCTTTAGGGATAAAGGAGAATCACAAAAATAGAGTGGGAAGTTTCTCTCTTGAGTTATATACAAGGGGGAGAGGGTGGGGACCAAGTTCTGCTTTTGGATGTGAACCCCTTGTGTGTCCATCGGGGATGAAGTTTTATTTCTTCAGTCATCAAAATAGCAAAAGCATACCTTGGCTATAGTGGCAGTACTATGGCTGTTTTGGGAGAAGAGCAGATAGATTTGATTGGCCAAGTGGGAGGAAGAACAGGAAATGGGCTTGACAAAAACAACTGCATTCTCCACCGCAAACTCAAATCATTGGCCAATTGTCTCTCCTCCATGATGGCTGGGTTCTAAAACAGCTTAGCAAAAGATTTGCTAAGTACCTTATTGGCCCTGCCCAGCACCTTCCTGATGATCAGTAGATGCTAAAGCTTATAGTGGAGTGTCAGATTGGGAGTTTTCTGCAGTGCTACTAAGAGGGTGGGGGAAAAAAACAGTGTGAGGTAGGATGGAAAGGTGGTATGTGTCTAGATTAAGGCTTGCCAAGTATACAGTTACCAAAACGCATGGGAAGAAGGTTGCACATTGCTGAAGTGGAGGCAGAACCTGCAGCCAAGGCAACAGAGTTGGAAGCAGGCAGCTAAGGAGTGGGGACAACAGGATTGTGCAAAGGGCAAGTGGCAATTGACTGGCTTATTCACAAACAGCAACATAGACATCTTTGTGGCCACAAACACAGACATGGCCCCAGGAGAAGTCCCCTCCCTCATGCTATATATAGAGATCCCTGGAGACCTCTCTCCTCTCCCTTTTTCCCAGGCCTGGGGACCCCTAGGCTGGGAGAAGAGAATCAGGCATAAAGTTTGCATATTTATATAGAAGAAATGTGGACTTGAGTAATCTGCAGCCTCCAGATGAAAAGGGAGCTCCTGATAAAAGGAAGGAAGGAAGCTCTCTGATAATCGATGGGTTTAACTTGCATGGGGATAGTATATTCTGCAGAAATGGATACAGAATCAGTCATAGAAAACAGAGCAAAAAATTGGTCCTTAAGAACGAAGGATGGTGGCAGAAGGAAGATTTAGGATTTTAAGGTAAGATAAACAGAGCCTCCTTCCCAGAAGACTGTGTAGTTCTTGTTGCATTTAGGGTAGAATTTATATGTGTATCTGTATATGTATTTGTATCTCTCTCTCCCCAGATAATTGCTCTGTACAGATAACTTCTTCACTGTAAACCACCCAGAGGTCACATATGTGAGATGAGCAGCGGTACAAAATCTAATAAATAAGTACACAAACAAATGAATTTTAAGCCAACCAACCAACCAACCCACTTTACATTCAGAACGACCGGCTTCAAAAGCCTGAGTATTCCTGGGGATTTAGTATCAACCCATTTTCTAGCGCTGACCATTTCCAGCAGGTGCCATTCCTTTTACCAAGGATCTCCAGGGATACGTATTGCTTCCCCCTTTCCATGGGATTGCCATTAATGGAGGGGAGGGGAGAAAAAAATTCTTCAAAGTAAGAAAGGGGGGGGGGATAAAAATAAACAAATAAATAGATTCATTTTGGAAGAGCATTCCCATGGGGGGGAGGGGGTTGGTCAAAGCAGTGAAGGAACATGGGGTTCAGAGTCTCAGAAGACAGGGAAAGGGAACTAGGCCCGGGGAAGTGAAGGGTCGCAGTATAGAGGGGAAGTCTCTCAGTCGGAGAAGAGGCTGGCGAAGCTCTGTCGGAGGCTGCGGATGCTCTCAGCACGCACTTCATCCTGACTAAGGCTGCCCCGTGGCACCGGTGCCTCTGCAAGGGGGAAGGTATTGGTCAGAGACTGGGATTTGCTAAGGAACAGTGAGGGAGGAATGGGGGGGCAGGAAAGAAGGGAGGGGTAGACGGAGAGGAGAAATGAGAAACACACTATTAAAATCAGGTCAGGCAACAGAACTTGCTTTGTCTGAAATGCTGGGAGAGAAGAAAGGGGAGTTTGGGACTCATTGCCCTCCTTCTCAAGAGTAGGGTAAGAAGCAAGCACAGAGCCACAAAAGGGGGCAAGGCCATTGAGAGGCCGCATTGCCCCCCCCCCCTCCAGCCCTAATTTAATGCTGCAAAGGAGGGTGTGTCCAGTAGGGAAAGACTAGGGAAATGATCCTGCAGCAGGAAAACATGAGGGAAAAGCTGAAAGAATTTGGAGAGGGAAATTCTTAGGCATTTTCTTCTAATTGAAACTCCCCCCTCCCCCCCACCCCCACGCCATTCCATTTCTTTCCAATTCTTTTCATTATGGATAGATCCCGTTGAATTGAGAGCAGAGGAGCATGAACCCCCTCTGTGATTTTGGCAAGCTCGGGCAAACAAAAAGCTACAGCAAACATCTGAAGAAGTTATTCAGCAAGAAGGGCTATTTGAAGCCCTAAGCACTGCTGCCTTCCTATGTAACTGTTTCTCTGTTAAAAAATATCTTCTTGTTGATCTCAACAAAACCGAGCTCCTACAACTGGCATAACGTGCGAATCCAGCTGAAAGTGAGGGCAACACTTTCTGTTCTCCCTTTCAGTGGTCAAACAATTTCATCCCTGTTTCCATGCCACCTCTTAGAGGCGGCCATGGGAAACACTTGTCACAAGGGATTATGAAATACATCTTTCCTAAACTTATGCTAACCTTTCAGCTTCAAATTTATCCTGCAAGGTTTGATTTATATAGTGAGGTATACATTTTTTAAAAATTCGATTTTTCAAATTTTATCTCAAGAACGTGACATCTTAAAACATGAGTTTTTTGTGTCCTTTTGAAAGATGACTTTGTATATGTGGAGAATCAATTAACTTTTTTTGTTTCAGGAGGAGGTGTGGGGGGTTTTTTTGCATAAAAAGTAGTGTCTAGTTCTCACAGTGGCAAACAAAAGCAAACATAAAAAAGCAAGACAGCTGCAGTGATGTCAGTGAAGAGTTTCTTATAAGCAAGTGACCTTTCATTCTGTGCCCTGCCTTGTCATCCTACTGCACCTAATCCTTTCTCATTTAATATTCTCCCCTAACCTCTTAGTGATCTTTGACAAAAGTGAAAAGGACATAAAATGACAACACACTGAATTTGCAAAATTAATCCTGAATTGGTGTTAGGGGAAAGTGCATGTAGCACTGTTTGTGCCCTTAAGTATCTGAGGGTAACAGATCACCATGGCAACCTACCACACCCTTGTTTAGCTAGGAACAAAATCCCTAAATTGCAAAAATTAAGTCTTGGAGCCTGCCAAACCCTGCTCCCTTCACAGAGAACCCAAGAGTCCAACGCTTACTTCAGCTGGGGCTGGGGTGGAGGAGGCAGATCCTGACTGGGTTTCTGGGCAACTTGTGGCTTTCCTTGGCTTGGTGGAGGGCGGTTCCCTTGTTGCCCTGGGCCACCAGGCCCCTGCCCCTGAGTACTGGGCCTCGGCTGCTGGGTAGTGGGTGGTGATGGGCGCTGCTGCTGTGCTCCTGCTCCCGGTGGGCGCTGCTGAGTCAGGCCCCCTTGGCTGCCCTGCCGCGGATGCTGCCGTGGTTGACCGCCAGCTGCTGGAGGGCGCTGTGCCTGCTGGGGCTGCTGCTGTTGCCCTGGGAGGCCCCCAGATGCTGTCTTGGGCAGGCCAGCCCCTGCAGGCCGCTGCTGCTGCGGGGGAGAACCTTGCTGCCACTGCTGCTGTCCTCCACCACTGGGGCTTGGCCCTCTCTGGGGCTGGGGGGACTGTGGAGCAGAGGGGGGGCCCTGCTGGCGAGACTGTTGGACTCCAGGCCCAGGCTGGCGCTGCCCGGCAGGACGTTGCTGAGCCTGTGGTGGGGGCTGCTGGGTAGTGGGGCTGGGCAGACGCTGACCCATTGCAGGACCACTGGGCTGTGGGGTAAGGCCTGAGAGTTGCTGGCCTTGGGGAGGGGGGCGCTGCTGAGACGGAGGGCGCTGGGATCCTGGAGGTGGCTGCTGAGGTCCTCCTGAAAGACAGAGGGAAAGCTGTTTTAGCTTACCTAACCTGCTAGAATTTCCTTCCAACAAAAAATTCTGATGCCTCCCGCCCGAGTCACAATTTTCCCCAAAGCATAATTCACCTTGGGGTGGAGGTCTCTGTTGGGCTGGAGGGCCTTGTCTCTGTCCAGCTTGAGCTGACTGAGCCTATGAATGAAAACAAACAAAAGCAGGAGCATGCATCAAAATATATCCTTTTTTCCTTTTGTCCCACCTACCCAGCTATACTTTTCCTATTTCTTCCTATTTGTCTTCTTTGTAGCATCACCATGCAATACAAGAACTGAATCTTTCCCTAGTAGGCTGCCCATTCAGACATTCAATCAAAAAAAAAAATGAACAGATGACATAAATGAACAGAAAAAAAATGAACAGATCTCCACTGGAGCCATCAAATACTAGGAACCATGTAAACTCGTTGCAAAATGTGAAGAATGGATGGACAAAGAGAGAGTTTTCCTTGCCCTTCCTTTTTCCCAGATGCTTGGTAATACATGGGGGAGGGCTGGGAAGTGTCTTTAAACAGCTGAAATTTGTCGTGCCAGATGTAATGATAGCAATTTAGCTAAGGAAAAGCTTCAAAGCATGAGAGAAGCATTCTTGTTCACAATACAAACTGTTATGGCAGCCACCAACTTCAATGGCTTTTAAGGAACATTAATAATAGCCATTTTACTTAAGCCGGTTATATACTTCTAGAATTTGAGGCAGCATGCCTCTGAATGCCTATTGCTAGGAACCATGAATAGGAGGACCTGGTGGCACTTGTTAAATTCACAGTGGCCTCTAGCTGGCAGTTACTGTGGGAAACAGAACACTGGATAACATCCAGGAATGCTCCTCTTAAGATCTTGAAAGTAAGACTGGACAAATTCAAAGTAGACAAATCTACCAACATTTATTATCCATGGCAATTAGGTGAAATCTCTACAGTATTATGCTGGTGCTTGAGATCAAATAGTTAGAAAGAAATGTTGACTTTGACTTCAACATATAGGTTTTTCTAAGCCATCTAATTGTCCACTGTCAAAAACAGAATACTGGACTAAATAGACATACACACACACACACACACACACAATCTGATCCAGCAGTAGGAACACTTTGCTCAAAGAGTCCCTCATGCTGAAATCTTCTGCCTCTGTTTGACTCACCAACTTTAATTAGAAATTTCAGATACTAACCCTGGTCCTTATGCAGGCAACCTGTACTTGGTTCCCCACTACTGTTGCCATAAACTGAACCCTACTGTAAACTTCACTATGACAGTTTACTACTCTGAGCCAGCATTTCCTCCTCCTTCTGACGCCTTTCCTTCAATTTCTTGTAAGCAGTGACTAATCATAAATTACAGGGGAAAAACACAAAAAAAGGAATGACTACTGTTGTGTTTCTGATGAAAAACAAAGTCATAATACCTGGGCATGCTGTCCTGAGGCAGAACGCACAGGGGAGGGTACTGGTGTGCGAGGAATGACCTGGGCCATGCGTGACAGTACCAGCTCCACAATCAGCTGCTTATCTTCCTCCTGATGGTCTCCAATCAGAGGCATGGATGATCCCACTACCTAAAGGAAGAACCAGGGGGAAAAAACAGGAAGCTGAGTTGTTTCCCTTAAGTAGAACATGTGTGAATTACTCTAAGACTTTCTGCAGGAAATGACCTTTTATTTTTTTTAAAATGCCTACTTTAAACTTTAATGGCACTAGCAAATTAATAGCAGAAGTTTCAACTTGGGATGAAAACAAATAGCTAATAAGAAATATGGATAATATCCAGAGAATATATTTCCTCTGACAGCCCCTTTCCTTGCAGAAGATAATCATCTGCAGAATGGAGATAATAACAGATGACCACCATTACAGGATATTTGTTGAAAGGATTACGTGTGCTGTGTGTATAAACACTAAGCAATAGGTTTAACAAAACCACATGGTGCAATGGGTGGTGACTCAAAGAATACAGTCTGATCCATGTAGCCAGGAAGTAACTGGAACTAAGCCAGTTTGTTCCACTGCCTGTAACATGGAAAACCAATTACACGTCATATCAATAGACAAAACATACTGTACATTCACCAAAAACATAGGAAAATGCAGTAGAATCAGAGTGATATATTAAAATTTATTATATATATATGTATATATATATAATAAAATCCCAAAAAAGAAGTCGATCACCAAGAGGAATAAAAAATTTTAAAATTTATTAACCGAGCTTTCGTTGGGAAATCATCCAACATCGTCAGGGTTCTAAAAGGCAGACGCTGGGGCATCTTTTATAGGGTGTTAGTAGCCTGCATCTGGCTTCTAAGGCGTGTTAATGGGCCCAGCTGGTCGTGCCGTTCATTATTCATCATTCCCCAACCATAAGTATTACCCCAGAGGTAAGAGGAATCCCTTTCATCCCGCATGCTGGTCGTCTCCCTCCTCCCTCATCTTCCTGTATACGGATAGAGGGGGGGAGGTATATATATATACCTCTCAAAGGAGGATCCATCAACCTTAACCTTAACCACCAGTTGTTTTGTCATGGTTGAGCTTTCCAAGACACATTGAACTATATATTCTGAATATTAGTAAAAATATTAATTTTTAATGTGGATCAAGGTTTTTCCAAACCATCCTCCAAATCTTTTCAGTAAATATCCACAAGGTTTTCTGCAACAATAGCAATGACAGAGGTTCCGTGAGAGACTAAATTATTGCTGAATTTGTTGAGTAAAAGGAGAGAGAGAATGTAATTGGCCTGATGCCAACTAGTGACCATTGCAGATGAAAATGTATTTCAACTCAAATCTCTTTGGCCTGAGAGAATACAATACTATCCCGGTATCATAAAAACACATGTACTGTATATTGAGGTTTCATTGTTTCCAGAACAAATTTGTTAAAAAGAGCTGATTTGCTTAAAAATCTTCAATTTAAAAAACAAAAAACAAACTTTTAATCTGGCTCTGTATCTTATAAATTCTAATCTTCCCTTCTTTTAGCATTTTTTGAAAGGTTTGTGTTCCTGGTATATTAGTTAAAATATAAGCATTCCCAGCACTTCACCTCAATAATGTGGTCACGTCCATCCTTGCCATGCAGAGCCTCTACTGCACAAATGTCCAAACCACCAAAAATTTCTGAACAAGTGTCCACCCATAGCTTGTACCTACCACAGAATGGAAAAGATCAAGAAAAGAGACAAACTTATAAACAAAACTATAAAAGTTCAAGTACAGAGCCCTCGTAATTTTATCACTTTCACTCAGGTATATTTAGCTCAGAGAAGATTGTGAGAAGCCATAGAGAGGAAGAGACCATTTATTCTATGCCATTTATTTTAAATCCCTACCCAATCATGTCTCCCCACCCCGCCACTCACCTATCTGACATAGCTATTTGCTCCAACATGGCAGAGCCAGTATTGGTTTTCCAGTTGCCTGAAACAGAGGTCCTCCTGACAGGGAAAAGAGAGAGGGCGTTATGAGTACTAGAGATCCAGAGAGCAATTTTTTTCCTTGAAAAAGGAGGTTAATAACATCAAGAAAAAGATTGATAGAGACTGAAAGGGGGAAACTAATTCAAATGGGATTTGTCAGATAAACGGTATATTAAATACAGTATTTTAAGAAATTGAGTCCTCAAAGGAAGTACAATCTAATAGCACATATACCAGGGGTCTTCAAACTTGGCCCTTTTATGACTTGTGGACTTCAATTCCCAAATTCCTCAGCCAGCGTGCCTGGGAGTTGAAGTCCACAAGTCATAAAAGGGCCAAGTTTGAAAACCCTTGACATATACAGTACAAAGGAGGGGCGGCGTACATATTTCTCATTGTTTGTAAAAAAAAAAAATTTAGAATTTTAGCAAGATATTTAATGTTATACGACAATGTGTGTCTGCCAAAATTCCCATGTAGATCAGTTATTAAAGATATAAGACCCGAACTTTTGCATATGGTCACCTCTTCCAGGATTGTTTCTAGAAAGTGATTTGAAAATGCTGACCAGGATCAATAAAGCTTCATGGAAGACATCATTCTGCTAAAGGGAGGAGGCAAAGTAGAAAGGAAGTTGATTTAAGTAATGGTGGGATCAAGTGCAGGTCAAGAAGCTTCTGTGGGGAAGTTGCAACATTTGCTAAGAGTAAAGAGATATAAACACGAGGATTTTTTCCAGACTCACATGTAGGCTTTGTAGTTATTGCCAATCTTCTGTATACGGATATCATACTTGGCATCAATAAAAGGTTCTGAAGTGGCATAGGTCTTGGTGAGAGCTACCACACTGGCAATGTCTTGGAAATCATACTGGTTCTCCACCTTGACCTGCAATAAAGAGAAGCCTTTGCATTTACTGTATGCAAATATAAGCAAATAACTCTATATCACCCACACTTCAGCAATTCAATTTTGACCTCTTTAAAATCTGATTTGCCCTCTCAAATTGCGTGTTTTATAAGTGGGGTTTATTGTGCCAATTTCTCTTCCTCATTTGATCACATGTCAAATTAGATTCAGACAATATAAAAGTGCCTTCTATTTGTAGCCCATTATTTCTATTTATTTTCACCAAAATGTTAAGCAGGAAAATACAAAATAAACACAACAGGTTATATAGTGCTAGAAGCTCTTTATCTGGGAACACTGACTGACATCATTTTCTCATGGATTCAGCCTGCCATAAAAAACTAGCAAAAATGCTTATCTATGGTTGGATCCATTCTGTAGCATCAGCCTCTTTGACAAAGGGGATGATGCCTCTTGCCTTGAAAGAGCCAATGATGACAGCCATCATAGACCCAATGGGTTTTTGATAACTATCATCCAGTCTCCAACGTTTCCTTTCTGGGAAAAGTTGTTGACAAGGTGATCAGTCTGTAGTTGGTGAAAACCTGGAGGAAATGGATTATCCAAGCCCATTTCTGTCAAGCTTCAGGCTGGGATTTAGTAATGAGACAGCTTTGGTTATTGATGTAGTCAATATGGTAGAATCAAGATGAAGCTGGTGCATCCATCCTTTGTGCTCTTGATCTTTTAGTGGCTATCAACATTGTCAACCACAGTATCCTTCTAAGTCAATTCCATGGGCTGGGAAATTGAGACACATATATACAGTGGTTCTCTTCCTTTCTCTGGGCCGATTCCTGTTGGTATTATTGGGGGCAGAGGAGAGAGAGATCATTCTCTTGGCCCCTCTTTTGAGGGAACTCACATCACTCCATTCTTCTCCTCTCCTTTTAATTACTGTGTTAGATCATCCACTGGTTTGAGGTTTGATACACTGATGACTTTGGATTGACCAAGTGAGACTGTTGATGTTCTATTCCTGTGTCTGGAAGCTATACAGATTTGGACAGGAAGGAACCATCTCTGACTCAATCCCATCAAAATCAAGGGTCTGTGGATGTTTGGTCTATCAGATCTGGAGATATTCCATCTCTGACTGGGTGGGATTGCATTTCTCCATTTAAGAGTATGCAATCTGGCAGTCTTCCTAGGCTCACAGCTCCTGCTTGAGGAACAGATTGTAGCCTTAGCCAGGAAGGCCTTTGCCCAGCTTCATCTGGTGCACCAGTTCTGTCCTTTCTTAGATTGGGAAGCTCTTCAGATAGTCACTGATGCCCTGGTCACCCCACGACCTAACTACTGTAGCATGTTCTACACAGTTCTACCTTTGAAGACCACTCAGAATTTTCAATTGGTCCAGAATGCAGCAGTGCAGGCACTGATGGTCATGCCTTGGTATGCCAATGTAGCATTTGCACTTTGTGGTTCAAGGTACTGGACAATACCTTTAAAGCCCTACGTGGCACAGGGCCTCGTTATCTAAGGAATCACATGTCTCCCATAGTATCAACCGGTCTGATTTAATCTGGCAGGATTGGCGCTCTCTGAGTTCCTTTGATTAAATAAAGCCCTCTATCAGGATTCCAGAAGTGCCCCTTCTCTGTAGTAGAACTTGCTCTCTGGAATGAAGCTGTCCCTGAGATCCAGATGACTCCCACTCTGCTGGTGTTTTGAAGGGCCTTGAAGACTTGGCTTCTCCCAGGCCTTTATCAACAATGAGTGAAATTGCCTGGATTGTGTGGGTTTGTTTCTCTTCTGTTCTTGTCTAGTTCTTGTCAACTTTTGTTCCTTTATTTTTGTTTCTTGTTATTGTTTTCCCAAACATCGGGCAACAGCTCTCCAGCCAATTGTACTCATCCAGTCTGGTCTTCCAGAGAAGATCTGCCAACCCTGCCTCCCCCCACCCACCCACCCACCCACCCACCCACTCACACCCATTTTGTGAGGTATAGCAGGTATGGATCAGACAGCAGGCCTTCATGGTGGAAATATCTTCCTTACAGAAGTTTCTAAGCCTCCACTGGAAACAGCTCAAAAGCTCAATTCTAACAAGTCTTTGGTCCCAGTTGAATGATTGTGGGTAGCTATCTTAAGTTTGCTTTTGCTTTCTCATGGTGTTTTCATTATACTGTGGGTTCTTTTTGTTTTGGTCTTTATTTGTGGTTTTATGCTGCCCAAGGCCCCCAGGACTGGGTTAGGTCATAAGTACAGTTAAATAAAGAAACAAACAAAATCAATTTCTATACTTGTTCCTAAACAAAAGAGGAATCCATTATAACTTGCAGTTGGAGTTGCTGGGAAAATCTATTTGTGACTAATTGGGACAGAAGTTATTGGGAGGAAAGATTATTCTTCCCACAATTGCCCCCTAAGAAGGAGAGCAAATGGGGACCTCAGAGCCAAAATGGGAATGCCCTACAATCTAATAGGTTTCTGTCTCAACAATGAAAATATCCTAGGAGAAAAGAACAGAACATTATGTTACTTGCAACTTGGGAAGAGATACAAAGCAGGAGCTTAGCAACTCTGTGGTCTAGGTAATAAACTTCGCATTCCAGGCAGAGCAGGGATCTAAGTGATCAGCACGTAACAGATACCGAGATAAACAAAGAGGAAGGAAAACTAATTAATCTAGATCATTTTTTAAAAAAAACCTTTGAGTTGCCTTGTAGGCCCTCTCTCCACTGCTGAGTCAAACTGCTTTGAGCAAGCAGAAAATTTTAACAGTGTAAAAATGGTTGACCCCCAATAAAAATCCCTGTGCCTGGCTCTAGGCCTCAGTTTCAGATCACTGCCAATCCCATGACTCCCCTTCAAGGTAGGGTTACCAGATATCTGATGGGGACAATTGGAAAAGAGGATAAATGGACACACTGGATGAAGACTCAGTATTTAGTATTTGAATTTTTATTCATTGGAGAGGAAGGGATTACAAGTGAGTAAACAGGTACACAATACACATTGAGAAGAAGGTGCTAGCCCTTAAGAGGCAAACACCTTCAATCTGTAATTAAGGTCTTGTGAATTTCAGGCAGCTGTCATATTGGTGGGAGAGTACTATATAAGCTCACAGTGCTGAGCTTGTTAACCTGGATTTAGCACTTAGGGAAATGCTGTGCCACAGTGAAAAACTGCTTGAGAAGAGCTACCCAAAGAGCTGGACAATTTTTGATGTTAAGGCTATGCCTGCTAGATAAAGGACATGAGGACAAAAGAGCCTCCTTCTGCTGAACAACTGATAATTCTACTCTGAGGTAATGAGTAAGCCTAACAGAAGTTAATACTATGAGGCTACTCTTGGATTGTATCAAAAGAATAGGGAAATGCTACTTTAATCCTAATATGGCCAAGGATGACTGAGAAAGCCGATTTCAGAAAGTTGGAGGTGACAGGAGGCAAGATCATGAAACATGGTAGGGAAAAAAAATGGTTGCTACCAAAAGATGTTTATGCTATGGTTAAACACAAGTGGGGAAAGATCTTTAGAAAGGGCTACATCAACATATCTTAAAGGAATATCTGGGTGACCTTTATTGCAGGATGGTGATTTGTGTGCTCTCAAACACTCAAGAGTACTCGGGCTCAGCTTTTGAGAACTTTTACACCCTCACCTTTCCCATTCCAGAATGAGCATGTCCCATCTTTACCACCACTGGGTATTTGGAGGTTGTCAGCTGGAAAAAGAAGAAGAAAGAAGAATCACCAAAGGTTGACAATCACTGCCGTTAGGTACCACGGTCTGCCACAAAGGTCACTGCAATGGCAAGTGTTGCTCAGTGCCATTAAAAGTGTACAGTGTACAATACAGGCTTGGGCAAAACAAGGAGCCATGTACAGTGATGTTTAAAAATTTGTGAACCCTTTTGAATTTTCAAAATTTCAGAATAAATATGACCTAAAACATCATCTGTTCTCCATATGAGTCCTAAAACTAGATAAAGAGACCATGAATACAATGAGTCAAAAATATTGTAACCTGTTCATTTAGATACTGAAGAGAATGATCCAAAGGGCCATGCGCAAATATGTAGCTTTGAATCATTTTACTCAATAAATAAATGAATGCAGCTAGTTGTTTTGTTACAACCCAGTGATTCCTTAATACTTTGTGATTTGTAAGTTGAATACCTTGAATGATTTAAAACTCCACCAGTGACATTTGATCTGTAATGTTGCAACTGTCCAGTGTTAAATAAAGCTCCAAGCTGTATATATTAACTTGAAATCAAGCCTAAATTTATAAGACGTAAATGTTCATCCAAATAGAATATAGTTATGAATTACTTTTCCAGACAACTGCAATATATTCCATATGACACGCAAATGCTATTCTTACTGATAATTGTGCATGTTAATTCCTGCAGGCTACATTTATATAGGAATCATGGATTCTGAAAAGCTTAAATATATTGCTAGTAAAAAGAACATCAAGATGTTGCCAAGATTTGAGAAAGATACCAGAACCGTGCATGTAAGTTGTAAAGAATAATAGTATTCCGTTTGTTAGAACCAAAGTATATGGGATAAAAAGAAACTGTTGTATTTTTATTTCCATGTTATAATATTTTCTTGTTACCCTGAGTGGGATTTTAATGTAACTGAATGGCTACATGCCTAGTTTTGCTACTGATTTTCCTATCTTTTCCTATAGCTGAGCTGAATGCAGAAGTCCTTGGTAAAACAGCCAAGAACTTCCCGGTTGTGGTAGACCAGGGGTTTTCAAACTTGGCCATTTTATGACTTATGGACTTCAATTCCCAGAATTCCTCAGCCAACGTGTCTGGCTGAGGAATTCTGGGAGTTGAAATCCACAAGTCATAAAAGGGCCAAGTTTGAAGAGCCCTGCAGTAGACAGACTATCTTGGTAAGTCATGAAATCCAGCTTTATTGGAAGCAGCCTGTAGTACATACCTTTTACTGGAAAATATTTGGGGAAAGGGGGTCTCCCAGTGAAGTTTTAAGTTATCCCCCCTCCTAGTCTTCAACAATATTTGATCAGAAGGTATTCTTGGGGGACACATAAGCACGTTATTGAAACAATAACCTTCTGTGTTTGGAGTTTATCAGCAGCTGGCAGAGGACAGCTGACAGGCTAATGAAAATTGAAGCAACATCAAGTGATGTAAATGATAGTGGTTTTAATTTCAATTGCAACTGAATTTACTGTCCTGTTTTGCAACTTGTTATTTGCTTTCATAAATTTATACTTGAGTTGTACATAAATAAAGATATATATTTAATACTGAATGTTTCAAACTTCTGGAAGACACCAGTTTGTCTACAAAGGAATTGATATTTGTTTGTTTGTTTGTTTGTCTGTTTTTCAGTGTTGTCTTCCTGGCTGGCTGGGTGGCATAGGATCATGCAACTTTCTCGGCAAAAGTACAGAAGCAGTTTGCTCCTGCCTTATTTTGGCGGGTGTGGTTTGTTTATTTGTTTTTTCCGTCAACTTCCCAGCCTAAACTCTGAAATTCCTTGATGTTTTCCCAAGGGAAATTGTTCCATTATCACTCCCTGAGTGGATTACTGCAATGCACTTTACGTGGGGCTGCCCTTGAAGTCTGTCTGGAAGCTACATCTGCTGCAGAACAGATTTGTGCATACAGTTCTGGATGCTTCCAGTTTTGCCTACATCAGTGGTTCTCAACCTGTGGGTCGGGACCCCATTTGGGGTCGAATGACCATTTCACGGGGGTCACCAAACCATGCTGTCCGCCATTTTTTCCCTTTTCCCTAGCTGTCCTAGTCCCTCTTATTGGTGGCCACACCCACTTGGGGGTCACCATAACATGGGGAACTGTATTATGGGGTCACGGCATTAGAAAGGTTGAGAATCACTGGCCTACATTATACCTCTGCTTTGCAAGCTGCAATGGCTCCCAATTTCCTTCGAGGTGCAATTCAAGGCACTGGTTACCACCTCCCAAGTCCTACATGGAATGGGACTGGGTTCTTTGTGGGACTTCTCCTTGAGAGTATCTGCCTAGCCTACCAGATAGGGTAAAGACACTCCAGGTCACTTGCCTGACATATTGCCATCTAATGGGCCTTTGGAAGCCACCTTCTACCTTATGGAATACATTCTCTCTCTCTCTCTCTCTCTCTCTCTCTCACACACACACACACACACACACACACACACACACACACACGGAGTGACTGAGCAGGTACCCAGCCTTTTAGCCTTCTGGGAAGGCTTTTTACACAGCCATTGGGATGGAGTGAAGATGTTTGGGGTTGATAGTTGGGGCATCCCAAGGGGATGACTAAGCTGCCAGGTTTGGATTGTGTTATGTTTTTATTAGTTTGGGAACCTTTCTTGTGAGCCACCTAGAGCTGCATTTTAAAATGAGTACCCGTGCAAACCTTTTAAATACATAAAGTAAATAAATGAAAAAGGTCCTGTCCATACTGGACCCTGCTTAACTATGCCCCAGCAAGGTGAGGCAGTTGCTGACCGTATCCCAAACCCAGAATAAAGTTGCTCTCAAAATAGACTATTCTGGGAAATGAGGAATGCAAAGTAGTAATGACATCCTTGCAGGTAATCCTTGAATTAAGACTGTAATTGAGCCTGGAATTACAGTTCTTGGTCATGACGATGGTTAAGTTATCGTAATGTACGTCCCAGAGAATGCTTTTGAGCTTGGACCTGAAAGTGGAGATAATGTAACATATTATGGCTGGGTTGTCAAAGTATTGCAATTTATCAGGATTTTATTCCATCTATTTGGAAGTTAACTGTTTGGGTAGCCAATTTACTATTGAACTAAATTGAAATATGCATTATATACATATATATACTGTTTGTCTTAAGACAGATTTGATAAACCCTTCCATTGCTGAATGCCACCTCATAATATGCAGGATTCCCTCCCCCCAACCTTGTTATTCATTAAATTGTCCAAAATCTCACAAGACTGCTGTATCTCACAAGATTTTGAGCGTTCCACTTCAGATCTTGCGCAAAATTTCACATGAGATTTTAGCATCTTCATAGACGTTTTGAGGAAGGCACAGGTAAGAAAGCAGAAATCTTGCAATGCTGCTTTCCCATGACTTTGGATTTTAATATATAATCAAAAAGATTTTTAGTGTGCCATTGTCTAGTCCGGTTCATGGAATTCTGCCATTCAGATGATCTTGTCTTCTATTTGTAACTCTCTGCGTCTTACCAACATTTCATCCATAATCTCTCTTACCATAAAAAAAAAATTCACTGCTAAAGGAGAGACAGAATAGTTGCACAATGACTTTCTCTAGTGATGATGTAAAATAATTGAGGACTCATTGATTAATATGATTTTGTCCTGTGATTTACTGATACCATTTTGGAGTAATATTTAAAGGTACAGTAGATAAATAAATTTAGGAGGAAAATCTTTTAGTATTAAAGATGTTAAATACTAAAACTCTGAAATTTGACTATTTTTGAGGAGTTATGGTTGCTTCTGGCCTGAGGTGTTGCTAAGAAAATTATTTTGAAGAATTAGAAAAGTATAGTATTTCTAACAGTAAGGATTGGGTTCACAAGATACGTGACATCCATTTTAAAAAGGCAATTTATCTCTTAATCAAACGTGACTCAAGGCAATTTCCTGGGGCATATATTTTGCAACGTCTTGTAATGTTAGACAATATTTTTCCCTAACTTTAGAAATCTGTTTACATTTGATTGATGCATATCAATAGTTTTCTCCATTTTTTTGTTAGTTTGTTTTGTTTTTGTAGGTTTTTCAATGTATTTTTCCCTTTTCCCCTGAATTCTGTAATTTTTCTATTACTTTCTGTAAAAGAAAGAAAAAGAACCTCAACCTTGCCTACATTTTTATCACCAAGAAATAATGTATTTTCTTACCCTTTTAAAGAAGATTGTATTTGGAGAAGGGGAACTCAGGGGAGTTTAGTTAAAGTCACACGGCTGGGAATTATACAAGTTGAAGTCCAACATATTGGAGGATACCAAGCTGAGGAAGGCAGCTCCAGAGCTTTGATTCATCACAAAATCCCTCAACTGAGAGCTCATCATCAGCCTGGAATCAGCATGCAAATGACTTTGCCTTTACACAACCATTGTACAGTCACCAGATATGAGTGTCTAAAGTTCACCTTCTTACGTAGGAATTTTGTAATATACGGAGCACCACCAAAATCAAATGTGGGATATGTACGCTCTCAGAGAGACAACTTCAGAAGTTACACTTATGCCAATGTACATTCAGTACATAGGTGGAGAAACAAAATAACAAGTAAAAAGTCCCAGCGTGTTTCTAAATTCCTGACTGGTTTACTGGCAAGATACCTATGCATCCAAATACGCATTTAATGCTTTATTATCAACATTCACTGAAATCTAAATGGCGTATCTAAAATGCCTCATCATGGGAAAACCCAAATCAGCTTCAGTGGGCACTTGTGATGCTTCAAGGCGTTTTTTTAAACATCACTCTGCCTCGTTCATAGAATTTTACAGCATTTGGAGGATGTTTAGACAACGCTTTTCATTTGTAATATTCTTGTGCTTCCCTACCCTTTGTTTTCTTTTTATTACACAACATTAAGAATGGAAAAATAATAACTTCCTGGCAGGAAGATGCGTATGTGATTCCGTTTGAAGATTTCTACCAATACGCATGTCCTGGTATTATGTTTTAGAAACAGAGAACATTACTCAGACAATTCAGATTTGTTTTTTT